GACAAATACTGTACTTGCCTTTTCGCCAATTGTGCCTTTGTTTTTAACCCCTTTGCTGGATCGCCACGACATTTTAACCAAAAACGAAGTTCATCTGATTTTAGAGCAGTCGGATTTCTTCCTTGAAGCGATGCTCCTGGGATATCTTCCTCCGTATGAATCTGAGAAAGACGACTACTTACAGAGTCATGAGCGGCCATATTTTTAACACGAGCCAACAAGGCCCAACCAACCTCGTTTTCACGTTTATCGCTCCCAGTCTCTTCTCGTTATGCACAGGGTGTATAACGCCAGGCAAAAACGTGTTAGCCTGTGTACAGCCGCCCCATCCCCTCGGAAAAATCCCTCCCCGATTATTTCGAGGGGATGGGGCGGCTGTACACAGGCTAAAATGTGTTTGGTCGCGTGGCGTTATCGCCTTCAAATTATATTTTTGTTCCCACAGGTGCGTCTTCAGGAGATGACAGGAAGTTTTATAAAAATTGTTTTAATTAAAAGGCTGATTCTGTATCAGACTCAAAAATGTTACCTCAATATTTGTTTTATATTTTTTACTGCCGGATGGTACGTAGTGACAAAAGTGAATAAACGCTCGTGACCTTTTTGCTTTTGTGCATTTGTAAGAGCCGATTGTCTAGAGGCAAAGTTGAACTCCGTAAGAGGTCGTAAGAGACCTTTCTATGATGTGTTCTGAGTACCTTCTTGCTTTGGGGCCTTGTTGGAATTTCAAAAGGCTCTATTCAAATGTTTCTTTCGGAGCAATTTACTTGCTTCGCCTTTAAGGGATTCCGTGGGGAGTCAGTGCCGGTCTGTCTTTACCTCTACTCTCATGTGAAAACCACCAGGACTAAAATGAGCCTGGTTTCTAAGCTCCTCTTCAAAGAGATCCCCCCCCCCAAAAAAATTTTTGCTAACGCCCTAAAGTGTCTATCGGGACCCAAAACTATGATCAGTGGTTTGAAACTGACCGTCCACCTTCGTGAGTAATGTTGTTTCAAGTTAGAAGCTGCCAAAAGACATATACAATGTATGTTAGTAATCTTCTGTTTAATTTAGAGTAATGGATTTCACAATGCTTTTCTATTGAGAGTGATAGTTTCTAAAGAAACTGTGGTGCTGTGTCGGAGGGGGTAACAAGGTAATTTGGTATATTAACTAAGTTGAAAATGTAAATTGGCCACCGTAACGGGTTAAAAAGCTGATGTTTCGAGCGTTAGCCTTTCGTCAGAGCCATTCACTCTGACGAAGGGCCAACGTCAGCTTTTTAACTCGTTAAGGTGGCCAATTTACAATTTCATCTTAGTTGATATGCCAAATTCTCTTTAAGAGTCTACCTTTCAGTTCAGAAAACAATTTGTACGAGCCTGTATTTCAAATTTCTGTACTCGATATCAACTTTCTCACGCATTGTTTGTCGTTTAATTTTGAGAACCACCTCGACCTATATGGTCTCATCTACACTGAAGTATTGAGCAAAAGTAATGCAAACGAAAATCGCCGAATTTCGTTTATCTTTCTTTCGAAATTTCATCGAACTTTCGTGCGAAAGTTCGTGCGAAGATTTTCACCAGCACTTCGCGTCATTTCGCTACATTTCGAATTTTCGTTACCGAACGAAAGTTCACAATGAAAAGCTTGGGAAAGACGAAAAATTCTCCGCTGTACATGCTCGATCTACCTGCCATATAAAAAAGAGATCATATTGTCTTGTCACAAAAGGTTTCGAAGGCTCGTGTTAACTGCGTCCGTTGTGCTTTGATTACTGAGTCACGATGCGTTTGACAGAATACAAGTTTAGATTACAGAAAGAGGTAGATTAAGAAGTGAAGCAAATGTTTATGAAGCACGAGGAATTAAAGTGTTCAACAAACTCTGGATAGCGTCTGATAAGGAGGGAAATTGAATGGATGGCTGAACGCGTTGAACTTAGTTGGATAAAATCTTGCGCGAACCGTTCCTCATCTAGAGATCCATGAAACTTTTATGAGTGGTTATCGAGCTTCAAGATGTTTGTAAGCTCATGGAACAATTTTTTGCTCTTTTTAAGACTTTTCTTAATGAGTTTTTCAGTGATCAACACCGGCAGTAAAAGTGTATGTTATTAGCATACCTCTGTTTTCACGTGATCGGTCATAGTGACGCATGTTTTGCACGAAATTATTTTAATTAAGTTACGTAATATCCCTAGGGACATTTCTCTATAAAAATGAACAAGCGTTTCGAAAATCGTAACGGGAACACAAGGTTCAAGAAAGGGAAAGGAATACAGAATTGTAAGTACAATTAGCTCAAGAATATTACGGCGCAGTGCCTGAAAAGTAATTAGTGTAATTTGTTTATTTCAGTTTGACTTCACATGCTCATAAGAAAGGAGTGCAGAAATAGATTTCCAAAATTTCCCGAGCTGTTAAGGTCTCAATACAAGTTCAATAGAACGCTTGTCACGCTTTGCTTCGTGTTTTGATTTAAAGTTAAGAGTTTTGCTTCGTTTCGCGGTGGTTAGTATGATTTCATTCCTTGGTTTGACCAAAGGCTTACTTACGGTGGCCCAGAAGGCTCAACGCAAACAAAAAGTATACTGCAGCAAATAAAACATATACTGCAGCAAATAAAAAATATACTGCAGCAACTAAAAAATATACTGCAGCAAACACAAAAATCAAAGCGCAAAGAAAAAAAGTACCGCAGCAAATAAAAAATGCAACGCAAACAAAAAATACTGCAGCAAATAAAATATGCAACGCAAACAAAAAAAAAAAGAAAACGCAAACAAAAAAAATTGGAACGCAACGCCAAGGAAGACTGGGTAATAGTTCTTAGTTTCCCGCCAACACTCGTTCCATCCTTTGCTTGTTC